TCTGTTGTTTCTGTGATGTACAGAAAGTTCTGTGACACAATCTTCATCAAGATGAATAAGCTACAAGAAAAGATGAACAAAAACACAAATATACTCCTTGTTTTGAAATTTAAAAACCAGCATGATTACCTATCGAATCAAACACTAATATGTGAAAACAACATGAGTTTGTCGACCTTGGGTGAGAATCAACACTTCCCACACATTCTTCAATGCAAGCAGGTAACGGAACGACAAGTCTATGAAGAACACAAACTCTTCCCCAGCCCTTCACAGTCCTGACGTCATCTCGTCAATTGCTAAATTTCTGTTATGCAGTCAGGGATTCTACACTCCTCGCCTCCTGAACGGCCTGCATCTTTGTCAGAGCGCGCTGTCTAGGCATCTAAGATCAGTGGCTGTAGCATGGACTCGGACTCAGACTCGTGGCGTTCAGGACCGAGGTTCTGTTTACCTGCAGCACAACTCAAACAGCCTTAGGATGGTGCCACAGCTACTGCACAACATCACACAACGTATGCTGCAAGGCACCGGCCAAGCACAATTTTACAAAGAAGAGGAACATAAGGAAGGGGGTGACTCTTTCTACACAAACTTCAGTTATGCTTAAGGGCGTAAATTATCCAAGCATTCCGATACCTGCATAAGGGAGCTGAGAAAGGAGCTTGGAAGATCACATGGAAAGAGAATCCAAAGGAAGGTGACTTTAAAGTATGCCTTCCCAATGCCCGAATTCTCTTCACAGCAGTCCCGGGAAGCGAAGCTTCACTCTGATGGCCAGCTGCTAACTCCTGTTGCCTGCCGTCTTGAACCGGTTCACTCTGGTTCAACCTCCTGCTGAGAACTTTCCTTTCTACTCAATGCTCTGAATCAGAACCTACACTTAAACAAGATCCCCAGGTGATGACTAGACATAAGACTCAAGTTTCTTATCTTGTTTAAATGTAGATTGATTCAGTGTACCTGGGACGGAAAGGAAAATTCTCAGCAGGTGTGGAACCCAAGGGACCCAAGTGCAGCCCTCCTTTGCCCGTCATCCTACCACTGGAAGTCAGCAGAGCCTGAGACCTGACAGGCTTGGGAATCACA